TATATATATATATATATATATATATATAAACAAATACACAACAGACTTATATAGCCTTACTATGTATAAAAACAAATACACTATATACTTGTACAACCTTTGAGTACATAAAAACAAACACTACAGACTTGCAAAACCTAGTGTATATACAAACTAATACACACTATACTTGTATAACCTTACTATATATAAAAGAAATACACGACATACTTGTATAACCTTACCATATATAAAAACAAATACACTACATACCTGTATCACCTATGTTACCATTTTCCTTACTTGAACAGATATTTCATATACAGACTCACCTCTCTGCACAACAAACAGCTATTACTTTATGTACTGCCATAAAGAATTTCTGCATATACCACAAGCCTTGAACAAAGCTTCTACCTCTACACCAGCCTCTGAAGTAATAATCATTAGACTATAGCCCTCCAACACATCCTCCTCACCCAGTAGTCCTTATGAACACTGTCACTAGAAGAAAGGTTCATTCTTAAAGAGGTAAGAAAAAACAAAGTGGAAGTGGGGAAGAAGTGTAGGAAGTGGGACAAAGAAATGAGTAGGTGGGAAACTGCATCCATCTCAAACAGGAAGTATTTTTTTCCAAAATATGGTGGTAGAACAAAAGATGTAGTAAAAAGCATTTTTTTCCAAAATATGGTGGTAGAACAAAAGATGTAGTCAAAAGCATTTTTCTCTGTGTGTTAAAATGTCACTACGGTTGGGAGAATGTCAGATTACTCAATTGTCCATTATCTCACAGCAGTCACCTGTAACTAGGACTATTAGCCAGAGCATTTCATATTGAAAAACCTATTTCCCAAGAATAACTCAAGACCTATCTATCTGGACTAGCCACTGAGAAGGGCTTGGTTCATAATATAGTAGGATGGCCTGTACTACACTACCAGGAACACCCCAGCCATACTTCCCATCAAAGGTCTCATATTTGTGGAATTGCACTATCCTGAAGAGGAAATTTCCATATCAACCTCTCCAGTGGCCTGGGACTGGGCAAGCAAGGTTCCCCCTTGGCTCCACTAGAAGAAAATGGAAGTGAGGAATTCACATTGAGGAGAATGCCAGAAAGGTGCTTGGACCAATACAGGAATTCTCACGTCTATCTAGGTCCCACACAGAGAGACCAAAACTAAAGACAGCAAGTACTAGCTGGATGCATGAGCAGTCACACAACTAGTACTGTCTTCTCTTTTTCCCAGTGTAGGATTACCTGGAAGAGAATATATATATATATATAAATATATAGATGCAACAGAAGCAGTCTTAAGGAAAATCCCATTTCAACAGTGAGCACCGAGTACAGGCAGATGGGCTTAACACTTTATCTCATACTCAATGCAGATTTCAGGAGATATGTATTCCTGGTGAGGCAACACTGGTCACTTAGTGGTCCCATATGTATGTGTGTGTGTGTGTGTGTGTGTGTGTGTATTCAATAAGTTGGTTTTCAGACCTGAAAAAAAACAACTCACAATCAGATCCAATGAGAGGTGTGAAAAATAACAATTACAGGAAGATGAAACACAGAGTAGGCAAAACCTGTGGTGTAATGAATGTGATACTATTATGTTGAGTGATACTGACCTCCTCATCTGCAAAATCTCATACATGAGAAGTTGATGGCTAGAAGGCAACAGAAACAATGAGATGACAAGCTTGGTGGGAGGAGAAATAAAAAGTAAGAAAATGGTAATCACTCATAGAAGAATAAACTAGATGGATGGGGATGCATAATCCAACATGGCAAAGTTGAAGGAGATAAGTTAATAGAGAAACAGAAACACCACAGTAAGAAAGATGTTGTTAATTGCCCTGAAAAATGGCAGTACATTTGAGATCACAACAAACAGCAATACAGGACAAAGAAGAGACCTGTGTCAGAACAATCATACAAGAAGAAAGAAAATGGAGGTGGTATGGAGAAAACAAACAAATTCCCCTCTGAGCATTTCAAGTTTTGGGAAGTAAGAAGTGGTTAGAGAAGAAGATTAACATGTCCCTGTGGTAAATAATGCAGGAAAGATCCAAAGTAGACAAAAATTAAAAAGAGAATGACAAGTTTTGCAAATGAGAAGAAGAAAATATGTCTGAAGCATAGGGAAAAAAACTGAACCACTCCAGACACAGAGCTTTCTCTGCTAGAGCTGTAGAGC